CCTGGCTATCAATTCACTGTGGCCAGCTGTGGTGCCACCTGGCCCGACAACACTAGCATGCTATGGTGTGGGCCACGGTGGTGTTTATCTCGTATGTGCCCAGGAACACCCAAACACTGGCACATGGGCATCGATAGAAGAAGTATGTAGAAATCACAGACCCTTTCAAGCTCAAGAAATGTGAACAGTAGGAATCTGAGGTATGCCTGTGTGTAGTAACGACGCCCTGCTCCATGCTTTCTTCCTAAGCAAGCACAGATTTTACCTTCTGAGTTTCGTGGTCACATCTTATTTCTATTATGCCTCCCTCAGGTAGCAGTATTATTGTATTATCCAGAATATCTAAAGAAGCTTTATTCTATAAATGGAAACATTATTTCCTCAGAAGATGGTACATAGTTTCATGAAAAAGATAAGTTGACTTACCAATTCTTTCTGTTAAACATGTGCCTACCCTCCACTGGAGCTTAAAAAATAGACAAACGCTTTTACAGAAATGCATATGTTCCCGTGGAAAACTGGAAAATTACTGCGCTCATTATTGTTTTCCCTGATGCAGATCAACTATAATTATATGTGGCACTTTTGAATATATAGTATGTTTCAACAAATCATTTCCTCTTCAAATATTTCAGATGGATTAGCTAGACCATGTTTTATTTCAGCATGTTGATGGAAAACAAAACATAATTTCATTAAAACTATTCTTCACTGGAAACATAATTTATTTTATTTTTCATTTTATTTTTATTTTTTTGAAGATGGAGTCTTGCTCTGTCACCCAGGCTGGAGTGCAGTGGCATGATCTCGGCTCACTGGAACCTCCGCCTTCCCGGGTCCAGGTGATTCTCCTGCCTCAGCCGGAGTAGCTGGGATTACAGGCACCCACCCCCATGCCCAGCTAATTTTTGTATTTGTAGTAGAGACAGGGTTTCACCATATTGGCCAGGCTGGTCTCAAACTCCTGACCTCTGGTGATCCGCCCACCTCAGCCTCCCAAAGTGCTGGGATTACAGGTGTTAGCCACAGCGCCTGGCTGGAAACAATATGTTTTAACATAAAAAACAGAAATGGAATAAGGGCACATATGACTAGATCTATATTTTCATACTTAAACCAATATGGTTTAAGCAGATTTGTTTTTGAAAAAATAATATAAGACTGGGGTTATTAGCCAAAATCTTTTCATTCAGGGAAAGCATGTGTCCAAGTATTATCACTTGGAAAATTTGAAGCTATATTTAATTTTGTATTTTTTATACTTTGTACTAGTTAAATTTTTTAGTGAGGAAGATTCCCAGTTACTAAAAATGTTTAATGTTTTTATTCATCAAAACTGAAAACTAGAAATAACCTTGTTGTTTCTTAACACTTTGGGAGTTTTTAAAACTAACGGTGCCCGGAATGACTTGGGCATGGAAAGTAAGGAATACCTATTGAGCAGTCACCTGGCATTGGTTCATCTACACAGAGATGACAACTAGATTATATTTAGTTGGCTTTTATTGATTTATACCTTTAGTGGGTTACTGCAAAACTAAAATTATATAATAATCATTTTCCATTGCTTTAGAAATTTTAACAGTATTCTGTTCATAAAAACTTTGGCCATGATGATATTTTGAAAATTATAAGGGGCCTTTCCCTGTCTTTCTTCATATTCTCTGTTGAATTCGTGACCCCATTTTGCAGTTCCTTAAATTACATTATAAATCAGAAAATATACATATCTACTCCAATTGAAAGCTCCATTTCAACCGGCTCCCCTGTTCAGAGCAGCTGCGTCTTTGGATGGTTCACTTAAAGCTTTGGTCGTAGCCTTGACTCAGGTGAGCTTTCGGCAGATGCAATCACCAGACAGCACATGCTACCCAGAATATTAGGTAGACGCCAAAACATGTGTGGTAAGAAAAAACAAAAAACAAAACAAAACAAAAAAGCCCTGCAATGTTTAGCAGGAAAACACAGTGCTACATCTCATACTTTCAGTTGAGAGTCATGAGATCACTCATAAGCAGGCACACAATGCTGTTTTTTGTTTGTTTGTCTGTTTGTTTGTTTGTTTGTTTGTTTGAGACGGAGTCTGGCTCTGTTACCCAGGCTGGAGTGCAGTAGCGCCATCTCCGCTTACTGAAACCTTCGCCTCCCAGGTTCAAAGGATTCCCCTGCCTCACCCTTCTGAGTAGCTGGGACTACAGGCACCCACTCCCATGCCCAGCTAATTTTTGTATTGTTAGTAGAGATGAAGTTTCACCATGTTGGTCAGACTGATCTTGAACTACTGGACTCAGGTGATCCGCCTGCCTCAGCCTCCCAAAGTGCTGGGATTACAAGCTTAAGCAACCACACCCAGTCTTGATTTTCATTTTGAATAAATCAGTTACGTAGAAATTTGTATTTATTTGAAAAGATGGTGTTATGGCCTGATTTGTGTCTCCCCAAAAGTCAGATGTTGAAGCCCTAAGCTCCAGTGTGACTGCATTTGGAGACAGGGTTTTAAAGAAGGTAATTAAGGTTAGATGAGGTCATGAAAGTGGGGCCCTAATCCGATAGGACTGGAGTCCTTTTAAGAAGTGAAAAATATACCAGAGTGTACATGCTCACATGATCTCTCACTCTCTCTCATGCATGCACATGGAGAAAAGGCCATATGAGGACACAGTGGAAAGGCACCACCTGCAAGCCTAGGAGAGAGGCCTCACCAGAAACCAACCCTGCTAGCACCTTCTTGGACTTCTAGATTCCAGAATTGTGAGGAAAAAAAAAAGTCTGTTGTTATACCACCCAGTCTGCCATATTTTGTTTTAACAGCTAGAGCAGACTCATTACTCTGGAAAAGTGTGCTAATTCTTTGACCCAGCTAGTCCTATCACAAAAAGCACTGTTTTTTAATAATACAAGTTTTAAACATTTAAGCAGATATTCTATACCAATGTCATCAATTAATAAAGACACAAAATTTCCCTCTGTACTATCTGTGCCTTAGCGGCTTTCAAACTTTTAGATTGTGGACCACAAAAACATTAAGATATAAGTGTGTATGTATGTGTGTATGTATGTAATACATGGTTTATTTATAATATTATATATGTGTATTTGTGTATTGCAAAACAATACTTTTCCTAACTACCTGACTGTATGAAATAGGTTCTGCTCAAGTCTATTTTATTTAAGAAATACATGCCTGTGTGCATGTGTTTTCAAATCCATTTGAAAGCCAAATTATTGCTTGATGTTTGAGTAGTTCTCTTTTTAGCTATGTTATCCAAAACATTCCGTAACTACAATTTCCACTTTTTGCCTTAGCATCTCAAGATATACATGAAGTACATATGAAGAATAACCATCCATCATATTTCTCTCTCTCTCCCATCCCCTACCGCCCCCACAAACACCACACTCACACATGCGCACCACATACAATGAGCCTAAGGTGGAGGCAAATCCATTGAATAGGTCCTGTTCAAAGCAAGGCTTTTCATACGATTTAAATTATAGTGTCAAGCATATTGTCTTACTGACTTGTTTATAATAAAAATATTTCGATTTGATGATGCAACTAAGATATAGACTAATGCACACTGAATAAGTAAATTCACAGTTAGGAAATACGGTATCCTCGAAGTAAAGTATGGATAATTTACATTCTTGCCAGTTCACATAGGCACCTTGTGTATGAATAAAAAATTATATGACTTGGCCTGGCATGGTGGTTCATGCCTGCAGTCCTGGCACTTTGGGAGGCAGAGGCAGGCAGATCACTTGAACGTCAGGAGTTCTAGACCGGCCTGGCCAACATGATGAAACCCTGTCTTTACTAAAAATACAAAAGAAAAAAAAAAAAAATAGCTAGACATGGTAGTGCGAGCCTGTAGTCCCAGACACTTAGGTGGGAGAATCACTTGAACCTGGGAGGTAGATGTTACAGTGAGCTTAGATCATATCACTGCACTCCAGCCTGGACAACAAAGAGAGACTTCGTCTCAAAAACAAAACAAAACAAAACAAAAAAATTACATCATAATTTTCAAAGAAAACATTTGTAAAGGGAAGTTAATTTCATCAGTTTCTATCTGATTCTATTTCTTTTGGGTATATGCTTAAAGAATTCACGCTTGTAGCCATCAAAGAGTCTGACACTGATATCTGTGGCCTAGGAATGGATAGTTAAAGGAAGGCAATAGGTACTATAGGGACAGGTTTTACAGATTTGTTGTTCTTTAAAACAATTAGCAAAGTTGACTAAGACTCAGAAGCAAGAAATACACATTTCATAATTAAACATTACCCCGTCACATTCAAACTAATAGTGATCCTGGATATGTAAATATGAAATCAAAATTTAATTTCTAAACGATAGAATTTCAAAATCAATATTCAAATTTCAAATTTTCCAAAATTTCATGGGTCAAAATTCTAATGTTCACTTCTATAAGTATAGTTGTACAAGATAAGTAAATTGACAACTTTTAAAATTGTTAAAATCTATACACAGGGAAAACGGCCATAATTCATACAGCTTTGGAATATATATACATGTGTATGTACAAATTTATATAGACATAAGAAAAATAAAATAAGTTAAAGGTAAAAAACCTTCCACATTATTTAAAACATTCACTATTTCATGCTCCTGATTTCTTGATACAAATATTTTCTATTATTTTTTCTTTACAGAATAAAATTTATTTTGTGCCCTTGAGAACACAAGAAAGAAAACAAAAGAAAAAGAAATAACAAAGAAAATGTTTTTAGTTACATCCTTTTTCATTAGAGATTGCCCTCAGTTCTGAGGCAGCAATTGGCATAGAAACATTTTCTAAGTGAATAATACGACTCATATATTTGCTCATAGTCTCATATAGCAAATTCATGCCAAACAGAAAATATTAACATTTTAAAATGTTTAAATATTTTAAATGTAAACGTAAACATAATTTAAAATAATTTTTATTGAATTAACTAAATAGAAGTGTTTTTGCACACTTCTTAATTCTCACCTCTTCTTTTGTCTTTTTAGATATCACTCGGAGCCAATCTCCAATCATGCTCAGGACAGCAGCAAAGTAAGCAAGCCCTACAAGGATCCAAAACCACACGACAGGCTTATAGAAGTCCAGATATTCAATATCAGATCCACCTGGAGACAAAACAAAGTAGAACAAAATAACTTCATATTCTTAAAAGTAAACAATCTAGGTATTGCTAAAATTACTAACTAAATTTTGGTTTGCAAAACATAGAAATCTAGTATTCTTGTCAATGGACTTATATTATTTTCTTCATTTTGAATTTCTGATTTTCATTCAAGTAATTCTTACCTATTTTTCAAGAACAAGTTAAGTTTTTCTTAATGAAACCTTTCATTGCTTCTTCAGATCATCATGGTTTTTCCTTGCTTCATGTTTCATTTACATTTATATAATCCATCTCAGTCTTGTACTTAATTATTCTATGTGTACTAAGTTTCTTTTTCCACCTCTATTTTAACAAATAGAAGATAGTGATTATACTTTTGTTGGTGTGCATTTAACTTAGCATATTTACCTCATTGCCAATAAATACATGCTAGCTAATCAACTTAATGCCAAACTGAACAGCAAGTGAACAACTCTAGCGATGGTTCATATTTTAAAGTCATCAGTACAATGAATCACTAACAAATGCCAGAGACAATGACTTGATGGTTCGAATGAGAACAAATAGAAATTTGAAGGTAATACTACCATTCATCACTCTCTGACTTCTCTGAGAAATTCCCATGACTGTCATAAAATAAAACCATAGCTCTCAAGAAAAAAAAATTGGCAAGGCTCTTTTTTTTTTTTTACTCTAATCCTTGAAGAACTTCTCCATCCACTTGGAACAATACCTATACCTATGAGAATCTGGGTTCATTTCAACACACCCTTTGTTCAGTACCCCATTAATATGGGGGCATTTATTAAGTCCCAACAGTGAAACTGTTTTTATTTTCACAAATAAGAAATCAAATACCTCTCTTGAAAAATTCATAATTTAGATCAAGAAATCCTCATATAGATAGTTAACCTTAATGGGGTATATTGCATGATGGCAAAGAGAATACAAAAGCACTATGAGAGGGCATAGAAGAAATGATTTTTACTTCTGGAAGAAGGAAAGTAAGAATGGGAAAGTGAGTCTTAAGTAATGAGGATCAAAACTTGGAATAGCACAGTGTGGAAAATATATAGTATAGTCAAATGACTTTTAGTCATGGATAAATCTCCACATGTATTTGACCAAAGAGCAGATAAGTAGAAGACAGAAATCTAGAAAAAGTAGGCTGTATCAGATTGTAAAGATTTCATCTTAACTCAATGGAGAATAAGTAAAAGTCTCTAGGGAGACAAGTCCTATATATTCATATTTGACTATCTCCACAGAAAGATCCAGTGGCAGAGAAGAACGAATTGACAGGGAAGCCCCATGAGAAGCTTTTGTTCTGAATTAGCTAAGAAATTATTGTGTCTGAGTTAGGGCAGAGATGGCAAGAAGAGTCATTTTACAGGCCGAATTATCAAGGACTGATGGCCAGTTACTTGTGATAAGTGAGAGGAAGAGCTCTCTGATGACCAAAGACCCACACTGTGGGTCTTTGGTGATATTGTAACTGAATGGGGGAAGAAAGATTGACTTTTTTAAAAAAGGTAATTAAAACTGAGAACTGACAGGTTTGTAGTGCTTGAGGTAATAACCAAAAAGATCCTTAAAATGCAAATCTAACACTTAATAGAACAGGGCAGAAGATAAGGATTTTAGGACCAACAGCATAGAGACTGGAGGTGCTTAAAAGAGCGTGGATTTGCTCAGTTCACAAAAATTCAGCCAGTAAATTGCAAGTATATCAAAGATCAAGTATAAAATACTGAATATAACATTATTGTAGAGAAATTAAATTTTGCTAATAAGTTGTAGGTATATATTAAAAATCAAGTATAAATTGCAAGTATATATTAAAATCAAGTATAAAATACTGAGTATAACATTACTGTAGAGAAATTAAATTGTAAGTTGCTCATGATGACATTTTCAAATAATAAAGGGTCAATAAAAAGACAGCATTTTTCTGTCAGGTAAATAAATTGAATAGGCATCGTTCAGCTTTCTTTTGGGACAAAAGTAATTTTACGAATACATTCTACAAAGTGAATAATATTATTTTCAAATATTATAAAAATTTTACTTTGTGCAACATTAAAAACTCATTTCTGGGAATAATTATAAATGCATCTCATGATGGTTAAGAGTTGGCCCATGGAGGATACAGCTCTAAAACTTCACAGAACTGACTTAAGAAATATGTGTGTAAACCTGTTACATGATAGGCTCACCAGTGAATTTCATTTTTTCAAATGTTTCCATTTCAATGAAACCAAAATGACATTTTTTCCCAAGTACTTTCTCTTTCAAAACCAGAAAAAATTTTCATCCAAATATTTGTGACTCATTTAACACATAAGTTCACCAAGATGTTGACTTTAGAAGAGTTAGTTCATGCTCAGATTACTTTTTATAAGTCTTCTTTCTTATAAACAGGATGTCACAGTTTGAGAAGAGTAAATTAGCTTAATCACTAAAAGGTCTATATTTGGGTAAAGTGTTCAACCCACAAGTTTTAGTGGAGTCTAAGCCCAGGGGAAAAAATGTTTTTTCCTTTTTAAATTGCCACTCTCAAGATGAAATACTGGCAGTCAGATGATTTAGGAAAAACGAATACTATATATACGAAATATTGTCAAACAACTTCCAAATCCTACTCACTTGTTGATATCTAAGATTCATGAATTAATTTTCACGTTAATCAATTCATTTCATCTAAGAATCTTATCCAAATTAACATATCTGTGATGTCAGGATAACTTGCTAAGAAAAATTGTTTTATTTTTAAATTAGGAATAAATTAGGAAATACTTTTTAAAAAACTTCTTGACTTTTACAAGCATTAATTTCAATCTAGCTATATTCAGGAAACCTACTCATTTGTCTCTGGCATACTAAGAAAACCTAGGATAATTTCTATTATTGACTTATTATTGACAGGGCTCCTGCCCCTGTCTCCCACACTCTGTTTTTGCTCTTTCCACAGACTTCTGAGATGCAGCCTACAAGATGCTACAGCCTACTCTCCCCTCCTAGGTCCCCCACTGACCTGGCAGAAATATTCACTCCACTGCTTTTCTTTTTTTCTTTATTGTCACTAAAAACATGCACATAAATCCTTTCCATTTTAAGAACTTTCTGGCTAACCATAATAGGACAGTATACAGTTGGTAATAAAAATAACAAAGAGGTGTGGAGGTATAAAGGTTTTGGGAATCTTATAAACTTTTCCAAGTAGTTAAAATAAGTCTACTCATCCTGACATTCTTATATGATATATGACAGCTTCTTTTAGATGGTGCAATCTCTCTCTAGATCTCTTGTCCTTAATGCTTGTGTGAGGAACTCAGTCAGAGCCTAATCCAATCTAGTAGATTAAACTACAAAAAATATAGCTCAGGAAAGTTCAGGCTGGTATTATTGCTAGGGAACCATTATCTCCACAAAGCAGGTTTCCTAAACATTTGCTGGAAACAGTCCCTCTACCCAGCATTAAGAAAGCCCTAGATGGCTCCAAAGAATCATTGATTAGGCGACAGAACAACCCATGAGGCCATGGCAGGCATCTCGTAGAAGGCCTTTTTTTTTTTTTTTTCTTTTTTTTTTTGAGATGCAGTCTCAGTCTGTCACCCAGACAAGAGTGCAGTGGTGCATTTCGGTTCACTGCAACTTCCACCCCCTGGATTCAAGCAATTCTCCTGCCTCAGCTTCCCGAGGGGCTGGGAATACAGGCACTTGCCACCACACCTGGCTGATTTTTTGTATTTTTAGTAGAGACAGGGTTTCACCATGTTGGCAAAGCTGGTCTCAAACTCCTAACCTCAAGTGATTTGCCGGCCTTGACCTCCCAAAGTACTGGGATTATAGGCGTGAGCTGCCACAAAGGCCCCTAGAAGACTTAAAAAAAAAATTGGCCCTGTAAACCCTGCCTAACCTAGTTAATATGCTTATTTCCACTGATTTACAGAATATTCAAAATCAGATTTGAAGAGTGGGATGAAAAGGAAGACTTACTGATTACCTCCATAAATGAAATCATTTCATCCTAACGCCCTGTGGGTAGGTGTTGAGGGGAGTTGCATTCTCATGCTTCACACTTCCATTGACTTAGGGCAGGGCTATTAGTAAGACCATGTGGCCACAGAATTAAGTCACATTGCCAGCTTCCTTTTGCAGCAATAAAGCTGATGATCCAATTGCCATCACTATCATGGTCTGTGTGGAACTCAGGAATGAAAGACCAGTTTGTACCAGTTCCTTGAAATCCCAACAGTAAGTATCCCACCTTAAAATAGAGATGTCATAATATCAGCAGAGAAAATAACATATGGCAGGTCACTCAAGAAAGGGGTAGCAGAGCTAGAGTTCAACACAGGTGTCTGAATAGCTCCAAAACACAGGCTCCTTCATTGAACCCAATGGTCCATGTCATCTATGATGTCAGCTACTGTCCTTCTTATCATTTATCCACCAACCTGTTTTGCTCATACTGCCTGGGAAGTACTTAGCTAAGGCAGGAAACACTAAATTGGACAAGGCATGCCTCTTCTCGAGGTTCTCACCTAGAAACCATGTGGGTCTGAAGACAAGCACCATTCCACCAAGGGCCTCCTTACCTTGCTCTGTCCTCTCTCCAGCAGCTCCCAGCCATCGGCCCTTTTGCGTGCCAAAGAACTTGGGCATACAACATCCCTATCCCTTAAATATAATTTTTTTTCTCTGTGATTTTCTTTCTGAATCACAAAGTATTTGTAAAGAAAAAAAAAGATATATCCTGGTTTTAAAGAATAACCAAGCCACTCCAGACTAAGGTTATCAGTTCCATACGCCTCTTCTGATTTTCTAAAATGGCATATCTGTTATAGAATATAAACATAGATAAATAACTCCATTATAAAGAAAATGGGGGTCATTCCTTTAAACCGGCCTATAATTATTTTAGCTTAAATATCAAACATGGATTTTAATTTTGTGGGGTTTGTTTGACTTTACTTTTATTAATTAAAGCTATCCCGT